TGTCCGTTGGATGTGTTTATGTTTTATCTTAAAACGATTTGGACCTTTCTTTGTCTCCAAAATTCAAACTTAGCTCTACTTTATTATATAGATGTATTCTTCATTCAAAAGTGAAAATCCTATTTATAGGCAAAATACCTAACTATATTTTCACTATCAATTGGAGTGCAATTATCATAGACATAAATGCAATGGTGGTCATCCATCTTCGATCCATGTGTCAATATCATTTACAACACTATTTGGTACTTTGTTACTATTTGTGTATAGTAGTTATTCACATCATACACAGTATTTATAACACTCTTCCTTGGATAACAATTTAAATAACACTATGGTCGAAAATCTGATTTCAATAAAACCGTTAGTATCCTAAGTACTACCTCATTAAAAAACTCTGCTAAGTAAAGCCCAATTGGAAAATACCTTAGTGAAGAGAAAAGGAGTACATATCTCCCCCTGTTGAATATATTCAGTCAAAATGATGATTATTCAGTTTGATAAATCTTTGAGATGCTGGTTCACCAATTTCTAGAATATTATCGGTGAGAGTGTTTTAGTGAACAAATCTACCAAATTTTCAGTCAAATGAATTTGCTGAACATTAATATCATCATTGCTCTCTAGCTTGTGGGTGTAAAAAAACTTTGGGGATATATATTTTGTTATGTCGCCTTTGATATATCATTCATTGAACTGTGTGATCCAAGCTGTATTATTCTTATATAATATTGTTAGAATGTCTTTGATTGAATATAATCCACTTTGCTCTTGAATATGTTAGATTATTGATCTTAGTCAAATACATTATCGACTTACTTCATGGATGGCTAATATTTTAGAGTAATTGGATGATGTAGCAATAATTGTTTGCTTAACTGATTTCCATGATATAAATGTACCATCATAAGTAAACACATATCCAATTTGTAATCAAGTCTTGTCTGGTTCAGAAAAAATAAGCGACATCTACATATCTAACTAACAACGGATTTTGGTCATTCATATAGAACAACCCTATGTCTACCATTCCACGAAGAAACCTCAGTACATGTTTGATCTCATTTCAATGTATGTGAGTTTGTGCTAAGTTGTATCTTACCAGTAAATTAACTACAAATGATATATATTGGCCTCGTACAATTTGTTAAATGCATTAGTACACCCATTGCACTAAGATATGTTACTTCTACACTAAGAAGTTTTTCACATTTATATTGAGCACAAAATAGATCTTTCTTTGTATCTAATGATCTGACAACCATTGGTGAGCTCAATAGATGAGATTTATCCATGTAAAATTGTTTCAAAACTTTTTTATGTGTATGTTGATTGATGCACAAAAACTTCATTGGATAAATACTCAATTTGCAAGCCATGACAAATTTTTGTTTACCCAAAATCTTTCATCTCAAAATCACCTTTTAAATAGTTGACGGCTTTTGTGAGTTCTCTTGGAATGCCTACTAGATTTAAATCATCAACATATACATCAATAATAACCAATCTACTATTAGATCGTTTGATAAAATTACATAGACATATCAAATCATTGACATATCCCTCTTTCAAGAAATATTCACTAAGACGATTATACCACATCCGCCCTGATTATTTTAATTCATACAACAATCGTTAAAGTTTAATGGAATACAACCTTCGGGATTGTGAATTATATGCTTATGATATTTTGAATCTTTGAGGGATTTTCATGTATATCTTATGGTCCAACAAGCCATATAAATATACAATGATAACATCCATTAAACATATATCCAATCCCTCAAAGAATGCAATGCATATAAAAAATTTAAAAGTGATAGCATTCATTATTGGAGAATATGTCTACTCATAATCAATACTAGATTTCTGCGAGAAACTGTGTGCTACAAGTCATACCTTATACTATACAATTTTATTTTTCTCATTGTTTTTTCTCACAAATATCTATTTATATCAAACTGGTTTAACACCTTGTGGTGTTTGGAATACAGGTCTAAATATATTGCGTTTTGTTAGTGAGTATAACTTTGTCTGAATCTCTTCTTTTCATTTTTGTCAATTATTTCTCTTTCAGCATTCATCGAATTGAATCCTTTCACATCAAATCCGTAAAAATATTTTTATTCCTCATCAGCTTTGTTGAGCTTAGGGCATGAATGATCAAATAGACTAGCTATTACTAAGTAAAATGAACTACATTCACGGAACACTACCACTTTATGGTCACATTGGATTGCATTGTTGAAAACACACTGCATAAATAAACTATCAAGAAAACCTCAATAGCCACAAACTTCATCCAGAACAAAAACATCATCTATGCCTTTGTCCACTATCATGAGAGGCCTTGTTAAACATTTGACCATTATCGCAACGCCTATTTTTTTAACATACCTGTGCAAAGTGAACCTAAAATTTCGACTCATTTTGAGTTCATCTTGTTTTCTAAATGAGTCAATCTTAAACAAGTTTTTTGGCTTGACTCGATCTCACAAACACTGAACTCATTTATATGTAAAATAGTCGAATTAATCAGGTTTGACTCGGTTCGGGTTCAACTCGTTTATAATATGAATAATTTTTTAGGCTCTTTTAAAAAAAACGAGCTCGACAGATTGAGCTCGAGTTCGTAAAACTTCACTCGATTATCAGTCCTAATTGTATCTAGGAATAACCTTCACCAAGTACTTTTCAAGTTGTTTTAAGTAACTTGTCCTAAAGGTCCACCCAGATGCAATAATATCCCATAGTAGAAAGAATTCGATTTCACTTAGGTTGAGGATGTATGTGACTCATTTACACATCACTTGATGAAATGTGGGTGAGAGATTTTCTAAAATCTATGTTTTGTACCTTTGTTACATAACATTTGCGAAAAAAATTGTATCAACTTCGTCTACAATAAAAAAATATTGTACAATATGAGTCGCGAAAGCTAAAAATGATATCGGAGTCATTGAAATTCATGGTGTGAGATTTAGAAACGCACCCTATTCCACCAAGATTATGTCTTAGGACGAAAATAATTACGATGATTGGAGTCATCTTTCAAAATCCCATAAAAGGGCCTAAACGTGGATATGTGGGTGTAAGAGGGGTGAATTGCAGTGATTTAATCCTTCATTCTCTAGTAAAGGGTTTATGAAATGATTGATAAATTTGAATTTTAAGTCTTTATCATGCAACTCATTCTGTAAAGTCATATCGAGCTAGTCCATAGTAGATAATATTATATAATATAGATTTATGTCGTGACATTAAAGATAATTTTCCACAAATAGAACTTAAGAGGCTTAGATAAATTGAGCGATTGCTTGTCCTACCATGCCATTAGAATTAAGAGGTGGTATCCTGAATTATAGGAAGTAAACCCCATCTAAAATGCAAGTGAGACAACTCAATTGTTTAAGCATGATTGTAAGAATCGTTCCAAAACTGTTTTTCAAAGGGATTATAGTGCTCGAACAAGTCTCTATATACATGGTTTGTTAGTCACGCGAATTGGGAATTATTTGCTTCAATTGGAATTGAGAATTATTTACTCCAATTATTTTTATTAGGTTTTAATTATTTATTTGAAAATTACTAGGGAGAACTTGTACAATGCTGCCCTCTTTCTTTTGTTCTGGTTAAAAATGTAAATACGGAGATTTGTTATAGTTAAAATAAATTATGGTGGTTATGGTTAAAATATATTTATCATTGTTAAAATATAAATTCTACGATAAAATGTTAAATTAAAATTACTTAGGCCGTTTTTGTGCTTTATGTTTCAAGAATTTTGCATTTTAGTATATAGATTTCAAAGTTGAAATTATCTCTGGTGGGGCAAGACTTATTAGAGCTTGTCCAATAATTACTCAAATTTTACTCAAAGTCGAGTCTAAATTTGATTTGATACAAAAAACTCTAATGAACAAACTTAAATTTAAAGAAGGAGAAACCCAAATTTAAAAGAGAATAAAGATGATCATTGAATTTTTAAAAGCGATTGAAATCTCACCATTAAAGATTTGAATAAAAATTGAAGTCTTCTTTGATTTAAGTAAAAAAATGAGTCTCCCTTGATTTGATATAAATTTAAGTCAAATGTTAGAGCAAATTTTTTAAATTTTTTTACTCAAATTTTAATTTAATTCAATGTTGGAGATGCTCTTATATTGATTCGTAATAATCTCTATATTGGGTTAGATTTTCTCAAATTATTGATTTCAATCCATGATATATTGAAGTTCATTAAATGAATCTTCACTCCAGGTAATCAATAATACTATTTATTTTATTTCTAGTGATCGAAGGTGGTGGTGGTGGTTTTGAAAGAATTATGTAGTGGTGGCCTTGTGATTGGTTTTGCAAACACATTTCTAGTTGATAAAAATTTTTAGTCGGAATAATGTTATATTGATTAAATTTTATATTTCAAATTAGCGTGAGTGATTAAATCAATGAGATCCACCAATTATACCAAATATTTAATGAATAAAATTTTAAAAAAATACTTAAAATATAAAATTTGATAAATAAATTTGAGCAACATAGTTTTATCCTTTTTTAGTCAATCACAAGTTGCAACTCTTGAACCAAATATTACTTCTTTGTCCAAAANTTAGTCAATCACAAGTTGCAACTCTTGAACCAAATATTACTTCTTTGTCCTTTTTGTAAACTTTTTGCTAACTTTAAATTCCGCCCTTTTGTTTTTCGCTACCGCGTCACGAATTGGTCGAAATCTTACGTGGCAAAAAATTCAAATTAGTTCTCTCGCTCCCCATTGGTCAATCTTGAACCACGCGGATCGTGACTAAAACAAACCACCACCGTCAGTTAAACTACATCCAAGGGCTAGAACCAATCCATTACATAATTCATCTCTCTCCAAGACATCTATTTAACTAAGTCTGTGTGCCAGCCACAGCTTTCATTACAAACACGAATCAATCACATAGACAATTTTCGATTTCGATTATCAGACTGTGTTTGTGTTTCAGAGGTGAGAAATGGATGCCGGAAAAGGGAAGAAGGGTGCGGGAGGAAGGAAGGGAGGCGGTCCGAGGAGCAAACCGGTCTCTAGGTCCGTCAAGGCAGGTCTACAGTTTCCCGTCGGCAGGATTGGCCGTTTTTTGAAAAAGGGTCGGTACGCTCAACGTGTCGGAACTGGTGCTCCGGTTTACTTGGCTGCTGTGCTTGAGTATTTGGCTGCTGAAGTGAGTTTCTATCTTCATCTCTCCTCTTTCTTACTCTGTTATATATAGGATCTGCGACTAGGCTTTGCCTATTGCGTTTTGGGTTCACTTCATCGTTAGGTTTTGCCCTTTTTTTAATTTTATTTATAAGTTGGTGTTGAATCCATTGTTTTCTTCATTAGCTCGAAGGGGTTTTTTTGGATTTACCATTTCTCATCCATCAATTTTTGCCAAGGAAATGAAACTAGAAAGCTTAACTATTCTTTGAAATCGCTCTCTGGGTTAGGTTAATTTAGGAGAATTGAGGATAAAAAGCTTGGATTTGTAGCAATGGTGATCGCTGAAGCCACATAAATAGGAGCTCATCACATTCATAACGCCATTTCTTTCATTTTTTCTGTGTATTCTCACTTCCCAAACAGTCAATAAATCTGCCAAAACATAGA